GGGCTCGCTGCTGCAGTAGGTGGCGGTGGGCATCCTTAGGGCCGCACCACGTAGGCGGCCAGGCGTAGGTGAGCAAGTCTTCAGCTCAAGCCATTGGCGCTCCTCTCTTTCCCTCTTCTCTGTCGGAGCACCGCCGCGCTGCTCGACATTGAAATTCGTCGCCGTTGTTCCATCTTCTCCCAATTTCCTGAGCTCCTAGCTCCGCCTAGTTCTTGCTGTCCTCCTCGAACCGCGGTAGCCACATCTCGTCGCCGCAATCGCCTTCGGCGTCGGTTGTCGCCATGGCCATGCCACCATGGCTGCCATGGGCAGCTCGCCGTGGCCAGCTCATTCCGGCGCTCCTCTGGCGATCAGGTGTGCTCTGACCATGCTTCACCATCTCGAGCTGTAGGGGATTGCTGGCGTGCTCAACCCTCCTCCCTGGTCCTCCCTGCTCTCGTCTTTAGCCTCCTGTTCTCTGACGTGTGCTTCTCTGTGAACAGTGGTGAGCTTGTGTGATACTATGTTGAAGTTGCTTGTGTGAAACTTGCAATGTGAACTAAGTCTACTAAAAATGTGATTTTTATTACTAAAGCATTGATGAATTTGCTTATATTCTTCCATTTTCACTCCAGCCATTGACAAACCAGCAACAATACATATGTAATAATATATAGATAGATGCATTTCTAGCCAAAGTATGTGATAGAGTTTACATCACAGAGTTTTACTACTTCATCACATTAATTACATCATCACGAAAAATACGTCATCACAGAGTTTACGTTCACATAGTTTCATCAGCAAAAGTTAACACAACATCACATCATCATTAGTTGTTCGCCAGTGGCGGAGGCATGGCACCCTGCAACTTGCTCTGGAGGTCATGCACATTCTAAACCACGGATGCCAGGTGGTCACCAAGGTCATCTAGGTTCTTCTTGAGATGCTTCTCCTTCTCTTCATTCTCAGCCGTCTCTTTCTTGAGTTCGTCAACACTCCACTAAAGATGGCCTGTGCTCTTCATGATGGGTTTTAGAACCACTGCTTGCAGGGCCTTGTGCATGGTACTTAGAGGGAGCTGATAAGATCGAACCTATATGCACAGAAGCAGTTATAGGAACATATATGAAAATCCAGCATAAATCTAGATAATGTGACAAAAAACCTACATATAAGTTTCATTTGCATTCATATAAGTTTTATTATCCAACATACATATCAGAATCATATAAGTTTCATATAATCAATTATAGGCTACAAAGTCTATGACCTTGTAAACACCAGAATCATAGCAAATTAGAAAAGAAAAACATCTAGCTACTGCTAACAATGCACATAAATCCTTAGAGCTGCCCCAAAGAGATGAAACCCAATCTACTCAAATCACAATATTGAAATATTCAAGTGGCACCATCAAAATTATTCACAAGATTAAAATCATTGATCTATGATAAATATCTAGATAAAGCAATCTACTCAAATCACAATGCTGCTGCAAAATACAATATATGATAGTTTACATTGCTTGTATAAAAACTTGAGTTGCATCTACATTTATTCTACACTAAGTTGTTTTCTCTGCTCCATCTGGGTCCAAGATGAGAGAATGGCATGAGCCAAATTATTTTAGCAACAAACTCATCCAATTCAGAGGCTACCAACAAAATTGTCATGAAATTAAGAAAGAAAACCTACATATAAGCAGTTGTAATCTAAAGAGTGTGCATTATTTGGCCATGGGTGGAGCTTGAACCACTGACTTCATTGTGGTTGACACCGCTGCGGAGCCATAAACGACACGTCCTGGCTCCTCCCTCGAAGCAGTGGTCACACATCTTGGTGGCCGCTACCCTCGGCGCTGCGATCGAGGAAGAAGGCACTGCCACCGCTTGCATGGCCTTCCTCTCCTTCCTCCTCGCCTCCATAGGTTCTCCTTCCTCCTCGCTATCCGAGTCCACTGTGAGCACCACCGCTGGCTCCTTGACCGCTGCCCTAGACGCCGCCACCGAGGATGAGGGCGCCACGGCCGAGGAAGAGGTCATGTCTTGCCTAGCCTTCTTCTTCACCGCCGCCAGCTACTTCTCCTTCATCAATGCCGCCAGGTGCTTCTCCTTCCTAGTGATGATGGCGGCCTTCTTCTTCAACCCCGGCGGGGTGGCCGGGATGCCTTCTTCTTGAAGGCCGGCGTCTTCTCAAACCCTGGCGTGGGGCTCACCTCCTCCTTCACCACTGCCAAGGATGAGGAATGGCGGTCAAACCTCCCCGTCTTCTTGTCTCTCAGGTTGTGCCGCCTCTCTAGCCTCATCATCTTCGACTGCGGCGGCTGTGGGTACGGCCACGGCGGTGGGCCAAGGAGGTGAGAGGAGTGGAGGCAACTGCACGCGTGGTGAGGAAGGAGAGAGAGGAGTGGAGAGATGAGAGGGCAAAGTGAATGCGAGGGCTGCACGTGTGGTAGGGAAGGAGAGAGAGGAGTAGAGAGACGAGAGGCCAGAGTGAGTGCGATTGAAGGAGTGGCACTTCCAATGCTTTGAACTACCACTCCTCTCTCTGTTGGAGTGGTGAAGGGACACCCTTCGGATGCGGATGGCTGCGTCCAGTTCCTCAATTAGCTTACTACAGATGATTGTTAATAACAAGGGTCTGAAGTAGGACCCTGGCAGGACGACCCCACCGTCACCCAATTTTAATGTATTGGAAACCTTTTAAAAAATAAACACCGCTCCTTGTTTGAACTTACGAATGTAGCGCAATGGTTAACTCACGGGGTTATGGGCCTAAAGGTCTCGGGATCGATCCCCATAGGGGTATAAATTTTTTGCCTTTTATTTTACTACTACAGACATGTTTTTACAACACACGTCTATAACAGGAAATCTTTTGTGGATGAATGCTTAGTTTGGTTGACATAATGATTTCAAATAAAAAAGTTGTCAACTACAAAGTTTCATAACTTTTCGACATCTACAACTTGTAATTTGGTAGTTTCTCCATCCGATGTCATTTAAAAAATTCAAAATTCAAATTTCAATTTTTTTGGAAATTTAAACTTAGTTTTCCATGACAAGATGATTTCAAATGAAAAAGTTGTCAACTACAAAGTTTCATGGCTTTTCGAGATCCACAACTTTTATTTTTGTTCTTTCTCCATCCGAGGTCATTTGAAAAATTCAAATTTTAGTAGTTAATTTTTAAAATCCGGCGTCTATTTGTAGAGGCGGCTCAATAGAGTAGTGTGGAACATCACAAATAGCAATATAACATGAATTACAACTAAAACATCTCAGTTTTCATCACTGCTACTTAGGATCGAACATCAACCATCACCAAAAGCAAAAGTTTCAATCATGTCATCCAGATATATATACATATCAACACTCATGCGCACTGGCAATCAAGGAAGAACCTACGACACTCATTGTGGATCCTACACTCCTCGCTGCAGAATAGGGCCCACTGCTCCCATGCTACCCATCCGGCGATGTCACCGCAGCCTCTGCCTCGGCACTAATGCCCGTCCTGGCGAGGCACCGAATGGCCTAGAGGAGGCAGATCAGGCCTCGCTACATGGCGTGGCACCACCAAGTCATCCTGCAACACCACCCTAGCCTGTTGGCGGCACCATGCAGAGTTCTTGTTCTTCCACGTCGCATTCTTCGCCGCCAGGCCTACTTCATCACATTCGACCTTTCACAACAACCGCCGGGTAGTGGCGTCATTGGTGGCACCACTATTGGACCTGTGGACCACAAGAGAGAGAACATATGTAGCCTGTTCATGCCCTGACTTGGCGGCGCGCTCTAGCATGTCGAGCCACGGCGTGACGGTGCCACGGTCTTCCACGAAGATGGCAGACATCCAGCTTTGAAGCAGGCCTCTGGGCGGCTGATGCTGGCGAGCCTGGTGATGAGGTTCATGCGATAGTCGCGTGAGTAGAAGGGCTCCCAGCCCGCACACTATAGCACTGGCTCTAGTGGTATGCTTCGTCCCACGTAGGCGTCACTGCACGACCTTCGCATCTGCGAACATGATGCCTGTAGGCTACCGAGGTCCTCCATGGGATCCGTTGTGGCCTTGGCGACATGGCTCGCAACCTCAGTAGCCTACTCCGACGGAAGCTTCTCCATGGCGGTGGTCAGGGGGAGCGATGTGAAGGCAGAGAGCTGAGCGTGCTGGGGAGAGGTGGATCGCTGGGGAGCAATGTAAAAGGTGAGTTTCTTGAATGAAGGTGGAGAGGTGGAGCGGCAGAAGTTTCTTGAATGAAGGTGTGCAGCAATGCAAGGTGGAGAGGTGGGATTTTATGAGCGCGCTCAGTTCTTGAAGTTTCTACACGGCCATGAAAATGGTGAACGTCGTAGCGGTGTGAACCACATAGACCACGTAAACGCGTCTGTAGTTCCCTAGGTTGCCCCTTGTTTTGTTCTTGTATTTACTACACGCGTCTGTAGTATAACTGTTGGCTTATTAATTCCTATTGCAATATGATTCAATTAGATTAATTAAGGAATATAACATTCCAGCCTTCAGATTCACAAGTGACAGCAAATTTGGACAAATTTCAGTTGCATTGTCACTATGTTCATTCACCATTTTAGTTGCATTCAACATCTACACATAACAAATTTGGACACCAAATTCCATCCATTCATTCATCCAGTTGCATTGAACATCCAGTTTTATTCATTCAATCAATGCATTGGGGATTACTTCATTACAGCATACATCAGAACACATCCAAGGACAACACAGACAACACACACAATAAACATGTTCATCTTCTACTTCAAATTCTTTAGCTTCTGCTCCAAGTTTTTCTTCTTGGTGTCACCATTTGGACTGTCCACTGAACCTTCTTCTTCATCTAGCAGCTCTACCCAATTCAAAGGGTGAACAATTATGATGCCACAATCCTTCAACTGCTAGAAGTACTCCTTTTCGAATCGATAGTAACCACACAGCTCAGGAAACTAAAAAACAACCACAAATTAGAACCCTAACTATGCAAATTAGGGAGGATAACACTACAAAGAACTCATCCCATTCCTAGCACACTTGAAGTAGAGTCGGCCGTGGTTGTCACCATCCTTCTTGGTCCATACCTCCACCACCCGAGCAAGATCGTAATCTGGGCAAGGGATCATCGAGAACCCACTGAGCTCACCAACTGGATCCAAAACAACACCATGCTCAGAGCCAATGTGGGTGCTGCGGGCACCTTGAAGCCTACTCCTCACCCGTCCACCTCTAGATGACTCCGCGAAATGAGACATCGCGTCTCGAGATGGGAGATGGGATGGAGAGTTTGGCAGCGGCGGCAGCGGAGGAAGGCAGTGAGAAGAAGTGAGGCAGAGACAGAGGGAGATGGAGGCGGATGTATATTTAATTTGGTCCAACCTTGCTACAGACGTGTGTTAATAACGTGTGTCTATAGTACTTTGCCTGCGTACTTAGCCATTGGCACGTGCTAATGGGAAGAGGGAGTGGCTTGTGTACTTGGCGCATATGGAACACAGTTGACAGTGGCCATTGTCATGATGCTATGGCGAGCGGTAGGTCGAGGGGCGCGCTGCTGCAGCGAGTGGCAGTGGGCGGCCATAGGGCCACGCCACCTTCTCAAACTGTAGGTAAGCTCGAGCCGTTAATGCTCCTCTCTTTTCCTCCTCTACCGGAGCACCGCCACGCCGCTCAACGGCGAAATTCATCGCCGTTGTTCCATCTTCTTCTAATTTCCCATGCTCCTAGCTCTGCCTAGTTCTTGCGGTCCTCCTCGAATTGCTGTAGCCACCTCTCGCCACCGCAATCGCCTTCGGCGTCGGTTGCCGCAACGGCCATGCCACCATGGCCGCCATGGGTAGCTCGCCGTGTCCAACTCGTTCTAGCGCTCCTTTGGTGATCCCGTTTATTATTTTAGCTCTCCTGCAACTCCATGATGCTCATTGGCTCCATTCTTGTACCTCTAATGTGTAGGTCATGCCGGAACGATGACCTCGCCACTAGTTCACGCCGCTGCACGTGCCATCACCGCTGGCCATCTAGCTCCGCCTCGTCCTAGGTTCAACCAAGCAGGGCATCGACATCGCGGTGAGCTACTGATGCTGCCTGAGCCCTTAGACTAACCTATACCATGCTGTATCTATCGGAGCACCGCTGCGCTGTCGTTCTGTGTTCGCCGCACCACCGTGGCTGTGGTTGAGCTCAAGTCTGACTCTAACTCATTCCTCTATACAGTGTACTCAATCAGGCATGCTCCAACCATGCTTTGCCATCTCAAGCTATAGGGGATCGCTGGCGTGCTCAGCTCTCCTCCCTGGTCCCCAGCATGCTTTGCTCTTTGGCCTCCTGTTCTCTGGCGTGTGCTTCTCTGTGAACAGTGGTGAGCTCAGCAAGAACTTTTATGAGCTTGTGTAAAACTTTGATGAATTTGCTTGTGTGAAACTTGTAATGTGAACTAAGTTTACTGGAAAAATGTGATTTTTATTACTAAAGCATTGATGAATTTTCTTATATTCTTCCATTTTCAATCTTCTTTTGTAGACTATGGAGGATCGAGGCCATTGGATGTATCTTTAGAACCATACTTGTAATGAGTACTTGGAAGGACTGAAATATTTGCTAGCTATTGTAGAGGCGGACATGAGGAATGGACATAAGTCATCTATGTGTGCCCATGTGTTGGCTGTAAGAATGAGAAGCAGTACTCGAATTGGTTATCAGTCCATGCCCACCTAATTCTTTGAGGATTCATGGATGACTACAGATATTGGAACAAACATGGAGAAGAAGGTGTCAATGAGCGACATCGTAAGGAAGAACTTCATGAAACTTGTGTCGGTGGCAATGAGGAAGCACCCTTTGGCAATGAGGAAGCACCCTTTGGCAATGAGGAACTATGTGATGATGATGTAGCAGAGATTGCTACCAGCCCTGTCCCTATGGTTGAGAATCGGGAGGAGATGGTACGTGATGCCTTTGGCTTTGATAAGTACACTGGTTCAGAGTTCAAGAAGCTAAAGCAGCTGTTGGAAGTTATGAAGACACCACTCTATCCAAGTTGCAATGAGAGGTATACAAAGTTGTCTGCTTCACTAAAGCTTCTCCAACTGAAGGTGGCACATCAGTGGACTGACAAGGGCTTTAGAGAATTGCTAGAAGTGCTCGGCGATATGTTTCCCAAGGGGAATCAAACACCTAGGACTACATATAAGGCTAAGAATATTGTTTGTCCGATGGGATTGAAGTTTGAGAAAATTCATGCTTGCAAGAATGACTGCATCCTATTCCATGGTAACAATGCAGCCCTCACTGAATGCCCCAAGTGTGGGGCCTCTCGTTACAAGCGAAGAACTAATGAGGGTGATGATGGCGAGGAGACACGCCATAGAGTTCCTAGGAAGGTTGCTTGGTACTTCCCTATAATTCCTCGCCTAAAATGTTTGTTTACAACCTCCAAGGATGCACGACTGTTGAGCTGGCACTCGGATGGGCAGACTGTTGATGATTACATACGGCATCCAACAGATGGTATTTAGTGGTGGGTCATTGATTTCAAGAATCAAACTTTTGTTGATAAGCCAAGGAATCTTCAGTTTGCACTCAACACGGATGGCATGAACCTATTTGTTAACATGAGTAGCTCACATAGTGTCTAGCCCATGCTGTTAACTATCTACAACCTTCCCCCATGGTTGTGTAATAAGAGGAGGTACATGATGATGTCAGTTATGATATCTGGTTCGTGTCAACCAGGTGTTAACATCAACGTGTATCTGAGGCCGCTTATTGATGATTTTAAGGAACTCTGGAAAGAAGATGGTATCAGGGTGTACGATGGGTTCAGGAAAGAACATTTCAACCTACATGCCATGCTCCTCACCACTATCACTGATATTCCAGGACATCGTAGCATGTCTGGGTAGAGCAAAGGAGAAATGGACTGCTTTCATTGCTTAGATGACACGAAGACTGTTTGGCTGAATAACTAAAAGAAGAGGGTCTATGTAAGGTACCGACATTTCCTTCCTAAGTCAAATCCATACCGGGAGATGAAATGTCAGTTTGATTGCACTAGGGAGATAGGATCTATAGCAAGGCATTTTAGCGGGCAACAGGTATATGACCAGGTGGTAGAGGATACCACGCCTAAAGTTGACCCGGAGAGCACTATCATTGGAAAGCGAAAGCACAGTGCAAAAGCAAAGAGTGCCGATAAGAAGAGGTGGAAGAAAATGTCAATCCTATGAGAACTGCCTTACTGGAAAGACATAGCAGTCCACCACAGCATCGATCTCATGCACATGAAAAAGAATGTCTGTGGAAGTTTGCTTGGGACACTCATGAATGACAAATGGAAAACCAAGGACCATGCAAAAGCAAGGGCTAACCTAGAGGAATTGGACATAAGGCCCAAGCTCCGTCCTAATGGTACCGATGCCCAGCCACCTCTATCTGCCATAAACCTGACCCAAGAAGAGAAGTAGGAATTGTGTGACTTCTTTCGTGGTGGCAAACTTCCCTCTAGATACGTAGCCAACATCCGAAACTTGTGCCTACAAGAGAAAACAAGATGCTTCCCATGAAGGCTCATGATTGCGATGTCAAGCTCACAATGTTGGTTGCATTTGGTATCCGGAACATATTGCCAGAAAAAAACCTGAATGGCAATCATGAGCCTCTGCTCCTTCTTTAATGCAATCTCTCAGAAGGTCATTGATGAACAATCACTGGAAGATCTTGAAAAGAACATGATTGAGCTGATGTGTCTCCTTAAGGCTTACTTCTTGCCGACTTTCTTTGACATATCCGTCCATCTCATTGTACATTTGGTTAAGGAGATCAGGTATCTTAGACCGATGTTCCTCCACCACATGTATCCATATGTGAGATTTATGAGCACTCTGAATAGGTATGCCAAGAGTCAGGTCCATCCTGAGGGAAGCATGGCGTAGTGCTATTCTACTGAGGAGGTGGTCGACTGGTGCCTCGGTTACATGGAGCCCACCAATCCAATTAGCATCTCCAAGTCTCACCATGAGGGAAGGCTAGCGGGCTAAGGGTGTGTTGGGGAGAAGCACATTACTCCAGAGAGAGATGCCTATGAATGAGCCCACTTTCTAGTGTTGCAGCACATAGTAGAGGTGGAACCTTACATTGAAGAGCATGTGGAGATATTGAGGCAATAAAACCAGCACCGGGGCGAAGCTTGGTTAGCGAGGGCACATATGAGTGGGTTCAACATCTGGTTCAGAGATTGACTTGCCAGTTCAACCTCTTGCACAGACGAAAGGCTTCAAAAGCTGGCAAAGGGGCCTTTCTTCACAGTCACAACCTATCAAGGCTATGACATAAGTGGATATACCTTTTACACCATTGATAAAGACAAGAAGAGCGTGTACCAGAATAGTGCTATTCGTGTAGATACATTTGACAGCAAGATGCAGAAAATAGCGTACTATGGTCAGATTGAAGAGATATGTGAACTCTTGTATGCAGGCTTCAAGGTGCATGTTCTTTGGTGTCGATGGGTTCAGGGAAGTCAGGGTGTCATGAAAGACAGGTATGGCGTCACTACGGTTGACCTCAACCAAGTTGTGTACAGGGATGAGCCATTTGTAGTTGTAAGTCAGGTTTCTCAAGTCTTCTATGTGCACGACACTAGAAACAAGAAATGATAAAGTGGTTCTCCCTGGGAAAAAGCGGGTTGTCAAACTTAAAAATCCAGTGGACGAGGAAGGGTTCAGTCAATCCAATGAAGTGCCTCCTTTGGATACTTCCATCCTCCCTGTGATTTCGGTGAGCGAGCTAACTCCATACCTAAGAGATGGCCGTAAAGAGGTTGCCCCATGGCAAAAAGACGCCGAAAACGGCAAGTACGCAAAAAAAGATGCTCATGTGAGTTTTTGAACAATGTGCAATCTCATTTTTAGTTAACAATATATATTTGTCGTCGCTCTTACTTACAACGTGATGTAACTTTCAGGAACTTTTAGGAAGGGATTCTGGCTAATGAGAGAAGTTCATGTCATCAAGGATGTAAATTGTAGAATGAGACATGTAAATTGTACTAGATAAGTTCATGTCATCTAGTCTAGGATGTTAAGCCCACAATTCCTTGTAATGTGTATGGTACCTTGTGGATGTATGCTGAAATTTGCTTATCAAGACTACTTCATTTCATTTGTCTCATGACATGCATAGGGTATGTATGCTGCTAGAATTTGATGTGTCATATCAGCACACATATGAGCAGCACACATAATCATCTATTCATATC